TAGCTAGGGTTTGAGGGGTAAAATTATAAATATAAAATTGGGAAGATTGTAATTTATGCTTCTCCATAATATGTCAATTATCAATGTCACCCCTGAATTATTGGTGATGTAAATGTTGCCCCTCAATTTTCAAAACGGTACATATATTGCCCCTCCCATACCGTATGAGAGGGGCAATATATGTACCGTTTTGAAATATGAAGGGCAGCATTTACACTATGGGAGGGCATTATATGTACCATTTTGAAAATTGAGGGACAACATTTACACCACTAATAATTAAGAGGTAACATTGATAATCGACATATTATAGAGGGGCATAAATTACAATTTTCCCTATAAAATTTTAGGGTAGAAGATATGGGTTAGGGATTTAAGATTAGAGGGATTGAGTAATGAAATATTGTTGGGTTCATTTTGAAGTCAAGTTTGAGTTAAAACTAGTTTCTCAGTTCCTCAGGTTCGTCTCAGATAGACTTTTGGGTCAAGATTTTGAATAGTAAATATTTCCTTTAAATAAGGCTTTTAAAACCATAAATAAATATATAACTATTTTGTACGAAAGAATTTGAGATAAAGGGTTTAAAAATATTTTATATGCTCATTTGACAACAATCATTGTAGGAGTAAAAATAATTTTATTTGAAAACTTTATAAAATAGGAATTTGGAGGAAAATATTTTGGGTTGTCACAGGCGGGATCGGTGAGTCCCAAGTCGAAGGGAGTGTAGGGCCCCGTACATGTTTGTCATCATCGTTGCAGTCGGCGGCGGAAGACGAAGAATTAGAATTTAGGTTCGTGATTTTAAATTCATTTTTAATTTTTTTAATTTAATTTTTTTTATTTATGCTGATGTGGCAGCCAAGTACCCACTCTAACGCTTATGTGGTGCGCCAAAGGGGAAATTACCGGAGAAGTTACCAACTATGAGATCAACTGACTAAAAATCATGTGTTCATGTGTTCAATTAAACTTTTTAAAAGTTCGTGGGGCTAATTGACTTTTAGCAAAATGTTTAGGGGCCTATGTTTAACTATTTTCTCATAAAAATGTGTATGGAGGAAATATAAAGAGAATTTATTTTTTATTATGAAAAATTTGGATTCGTTTAACCCCTTGAGATGAGATATTTATACAAGAGGACTCAAAGTCCTATAAGGAAGCTAAAGCATAAGATGCTCTGCATTGAAAAACCTTATCATGTTAGGAATAGGTAATCTAGTCCTATTACACCGCGAGTTAGCACAAGATATCTCGTGCATGCGCATGCTAGGCCATGGGCCATGAGCCCCACCTGCACCTCGCCTATATAGTCTAGTAGCTTCCAAAGACTGCCTACGACGCACCCCAAGTCGAAGCCCATTGTTTCGACCCGTTGTTAAGAGGAGGATCCAACTGACTAGGGAGCGACCGGTCAGCTACGCCCTCTACCCCATCCATCAACAATCATGTGGGAAATCCTAGTTAAAGTTGGCTAGAAAGTTGATCTAATGGACCAAATGTTATAGGAATTTGACAGTCATACATTAAATGTGAAAAAATTAATAGTCAAGGACCAAATTTAGTTAGAACCATTAAGTTCAAACCAAATTGATTATCATGTAGTTGAAACTAGGATATCGATTATGGTTACAGTTAAGAACCGAAATTGTAATTTTTCAATTGGGACTTATCTATTTTAGGATTATCATGTAAAATTTTTAAAATATTTTTAACTTGAAAAAGAATTTAATTAAACTAAAAAATCACACCAAAGAGAACCACATGTTTTAATTTGAAATTGAAACTATAATTTGATATTGTATGATTCCAATTCTATTTATATTTGAACTTATTACCATCAAAACCAAATAGACAACAAATTAAAACTAAAATATCTGTACGTAACACAAAAAAAAATAATAAATAAATAAATAAAATAAAATAAAATTGTAAATCTGGTCTTTAAGATAAATGTTAATTAAAAAAAAAAAAAAACTATGTGGGCATTTTGCCACCTTTGATTTATTTTATCTATCTACTATATATATATATATATATATATATATATATATATATATATATATATATATATATATATATATATATATATATACTAATAAGAGCCCAAGAGAGCTAGGCCTATAATGGGTAGAAAAAATGGCGGTCACAGATTTTAATCAAATGTATGGCTCAGATTGATTAAAAGATTGATCAGATTTAAATTTTACACTAAAATTTACTAAAATACCCACACACCGTTACTAATTCCGTTAAAATTTTAAGAATTGCCGTTAGTTCACCGTTAACTTACTCATTGATTTCAATAAAAAAAAAAGGTCTTAGGTTCGAACCTCATCCCAATCAAAGTTGGCATAATTAGTACTCTATTTTACTCTTATTAAATTATATAAATAATAATTTAGTAGTTACAACGAAAAATAATACATATGCATTTCTTTAATTTAGAATTATGTGTCCACAATGTCTTTATTCAAAAAAAAATTATTCATTATCAATAAATTAAATAAGAGAAATACTCTCTACCTAGGTTTTTTCATGCTCTAGGGTTTCGGTCGGTTTCCTCGACTTTTCAATCGATTTTTCTTACGGATTTGATCTCCGGTTACGAGATTTAATACTGCAACAGTGACCGGCGACGAGACGTTTAGCTTGCCAGCGTTTCTGTCTCATGGTGTGGGCGATGGCGGACCAGGCAGCCGTGGCGGGTTTGGCAGCACAGTGGGCGGACATGGTGTTGGCGGAGGAGGAGGGGGGTTTTGTACCGCAGTTGGCGGATGGGCAGAACGGAGAGGCAGCGGGGGAGGACGAGCCCTCGTGGGGGGTGGTTGGCCGCTTCCTCACAAGGAAGCTGGTGAAACTTGAGTTCATGAGTCAGGTTATGGCGTCTGTATGGCAGCCAGTCAGTGGGGTTCAGGCATCTGAGATACAACCGGGCGTGTTTCTATTCGTTTTTCATCACATAACGGATGTTAAACACGTTCTTGATGAGGGGCCGTGGTCATACGATAATGCCATGTTCGTCTGCAAGCAAGTCCATGAGAATGTTTTGCCGATTAATGTTAAGTTGGATACGGTAGACATGTGGGTGCAAATCCATGAGTTACCAATGGGTTACACATCTGAGTTGATACAGGAACAGATTGGGAATTATTTAGGGGTGTTTGTCAAAAGAGATGATCGCTTTCAGAATATGCCCTGGAGAACCTTTTATCGAATTAGGGTTTCACTGTCGGTTGATAGACCATTGAAACGCCGAATGAAGTTTATTAAGCGGGACAAAACGAGTTGTTGGGTGTACTTTAAGTATGAGCGGTTGCACACGTATTATTACTTCTGCGGAATGCTTGGCCACTCTTACAAATTTTGTCGGGGTGCAAGGGATTCAGTGATGCCGGTGGAGGAGTACTTGTATGGCCCGGACTTGCGGGCGGGAGGAAGTCGGGGACCGAGACCGGTCGGGGGCAGCTGGTTGCTACCGCTGCCGACGGCAGTGAAGGGGAGTGGCTCGGGTGAGGGGAAAAATGGGCCGGCGCAACGTGGGGTTGGGTCGGGCAGGGAGGTTGAGGGTGAGACCGGTGTGGTTGCTGTGACTAAGCGCCGGCGAGAGGGGTTGGAGTGTGAGGATGTGGGGTGTGAGGTGGAGGGGAGTGATGTTGTGATGGCAGATCGTTCAAAAAACTTGCAACAGGCGGGTACTGGTTCCCAGGCCCGCCCAACCCAATGAGTACTCTTAGTTGGAACTGCCGTGGCTTAGGCAATCCACGGACGGTTCGAGAGATAGTGGACATGGTGTCCAGTAAGAAGCCGGATTTTGTATTTTTGATGGAAACGATGGTAGGACAGGATCATGCGGAACGACTTAGAATTAAAATTGGTTTTGAAGGGTTGTTCTATGTGGACAACGAGGGGAATGGGGGAGGCTTAGCGTTGCTGTGGAGGAAAAACAATACTGCTACCCTCCTAAGCTATTCTAAGAATCATGTGGATGTGGAGGTTCGATTGGCTGGGGATAGAGTTTGGAGAATGACTGGATTTTACGGCTTCCCAAAGCGGGAAGACAGGAGGGAATCGTGGGAGCTATTGGGGACGCTGAGTGGGAGATCCTCGCTTCCTTGGGTTGTAATAGGGGATTTCAATGATCTCCTATATCAGCACGAGAAAAGGAGGGGGGGGGGGGTACCCGCACCCAAATAGTCTCCTTCGCGGTTTCAGGGAGGTGATTGATGGTTGTGGTTTAGCGCAGATGGCTATGAGAGGCTATCAATTTACCTAGGAGAAAAGCAAAGGCACGAACAATTGGATTGAGGAGAGGTTAGATAAGGTGTTGGCAACGGCATCTTGGGGGGATATTAATCCCCATGCAGAGGTACATAATATCCTAACACGCAAATCAGATCACTCGGCCCTTTTTCTAAGGATTGCAGAATCATCCGGGCAGAGGAGAAGGGGTCACAGAGGGTTCAGGTTTGAGATGGCCTGGTTGCTGGATGAGGGATGCAGGGAGGTGGTTGAGACAGCCTGGCATGACCGGAGGACTGAGGGTTTGTTGAATTGTCAGCAATATTGTGGAAGCAGTCTGATGAGATGGGGAGGGGACCACTTCCATAAATTTGGGGACCGGATTAAGCGGATACGTACGAAACAGGAGGCCATTAGACATAGGCGTGATCCGGATGCCTTAGCTGAATTTCAGAACCTTGAAACTCAACTGACCCAGCTGGAGGCGCAGGAGGATACTTTCTGGAGACAGAGGGCGAAACAGCATTGATTGCGTGGTGCTGATGCTAACACAAAATTTTACCATAGGTATGCCTCTGCCCGGAAAAAGAAGAATTTAATTGCTAAATTAATGAATGATGATGGGGAGTGGGTGGAGGGAGAAAATATGAATTTACTTGTTATGAGATATTTTGAGGGGATTTTTGCAACGAATAATGTTACATGCAGTGATCTTTTATTTAACGATTTTACCCCACGTGTCACCCCGGCACAGAATATGGCCCTTTTGCACCCCTTTGATATTAATGAGGTTAGAACTGCAGTATTTTCTATGTTCTCGGATAAAGCCCCGGGGCCAGATGGTATGAACCCGGGTTTTTATCAACATTTTTGGGATGTGGTGGGAGTGGATGTATCTGAATTTATTCTTAATGCCCTCAATTCGTGGATCCTCCCAAATGGTTTGAATGATACGAATATAATTCTGATCCCTAAGAAAAATGTGCCTGAAACGGTTGGTGATATGCGGCCAATTGCTCTCAGTAATGTACTGTACAGGATTATGGCTAAAATGATGACCAATAGGATGAAACCGCTTATGGAAAATCTAATATCAGATTCCCAGAGTGCTTTCATTTCAGGGAGGTTGATCACAGATAATATCCTAGTGGCTTCAGAGGTGGGTCACTTTTTAAATGGGAAGCAATGTGGTAATGTGGGATGGGGTGCTTTAAAGTTAGATATGGCAAAGGCGTATGATAGGATGGAGTGGCCGTTTCTGAAGAAGATGTTGCAGGTGATGGGGTTTGAAAAGGGGTGGATTGATTTGGTTATGACATGTGTGACGACTGTGACATATCAGGTTGTGGTAAATGGTGTGCCTGGAGGAAAAATAATCCCAACACGAGGTCTCAGGCAAGGTGACCCTCTCTCACCGTATTTGTTTATTATATGTGCTGAAGGATTATCTTTGTTATTACAAAAAGCTGAGCTGGCAGGTTCAATTCATGGATGTAGAGTGGCTAGAGGGGCACCCCCAGTGTCACATCTTTTCTTTGCAGATGACAGCTTGTTGTTTTTCAAGGCAAATTTACAGGAGGCAAGTGTAATAAAACAATGTCTATTGAGGTATGAGAATTTATCTGGCCAGATGGTAAATTATCATAAATCAAATATTTGCTTCAGCAGAAATACCTCAAGGGAGGATAGGGATCTCGTGGCTATTTGTTTAGGAGTGGATCAGGCACCAAACTTTGGTAAATATTTAGGCCTTCCGTCATTCATTGGGAGAAATAAGAGAGCAGTCTTTTCTTATGTGGAGGATAAAATCAGACAGAGGATTGGATCATGGAACAAGAAGCTGTTGTCACAAGCAGGAAAAGAGGTACTTTTGAAAAGTGTGGCCCAATCTATGCCTACCTTTTCAATGAGTATTTTCTTACTGCCTGATACAGTCTGTTTATCTATTGAGAGGTTGATGAATAGGTACTGGTGGGGAAAAGAGGTGGACAGAGGGATTCACTGGAAGGCCTGGGATAAACTATGTGTTCCAAAGAAATATGGAGGTTTGGGATTTAAAGATCTCCGTTCTTTCAACCTGGCTATGTTAGGGAAGCAGGCATGGAGGTTTCTTACAAATCCAACCTCCCTTGCGGCGAGAATATATAAAGCCCGTTATTACCCGACGACTTCTTTTATCGATGCCAAGATAGGGAAATGTCCCAGTTATTGTTGGCGGAGTATAATGGCTGCCCATGGAATAGTTTGCGCTGGGGTAAGGAGAAGGATTGGAAATGGGGAAAAAACTCTAATCTGGGGACATCCCTGGTTACCTGATGATCCAAGTCCTTTAATACAGACAGAAATGCCTGAAGAACTGCGTGAGGCAAGGGTTGTAGGTTTGATTGACCATCAGACGAAAACATGGGATCCTCATATTTTAAGTGATTTATTTGAACCTGACGATGTGGCCCGGATATATAGGATCCCTATAAGCCCGGAGTATGAAGACTCGTGGTATTGGTATAAGGACCCAAGGGGTGAATATTCTGTTAAAAATGCATACAGACAGATTGTTGGAAATTATGAAAATAATTCCGGTACCTTTGATAAGTGGATCACATTGTGGAAGTTGAAAATCCCACCCAAGTGGAAAACCTTTTTGTGGAGAGCCTTATGTGATATCCTCCCAACCACAAACAACCTGATTATAAAGAGAGTGGAAGTTGTTCCTGCATGTCCAATGTGTGATACATCTCATGAGAATGTTATGCATGCACTAACTTCTTGTGATTATTCTAGAATTGTTTGGAATATTTCGGGTTTACCTATTACAAATATTATTGCTGCTACTTTTCCAGAATGGATAATGGGTGCCATGACCAACTTAACGGAGGAGCAATTTGCCACATTGGTAGGAGTTCTTTATCATTTATGGAATGCCCGAAACGAAGCTGTGTGGAAGAGAGCTTTACCGCCACCTTCCGCTACATGGAGACGTGCGGCCGCGGCAACAACGGCGTATACCCAGGCACACTGCCCGGGCAGTGTTCCATCGGCGCAGCAGCCTCCACTGGTGCTTCACGGACGGCCGCGGTGTTTCTTCGACGGTGGATATCGGCCGCAGACGGGAGACGCGGTATATGGCGTAGTATTACTTCATCTGGATGGTTCATTCAAGGCCGCAACGAATGGCAAACTCATGACTTGTTTGTCACCCCTTATGGCGGAGGCCCTGGCATGCAGAGAAGCGTTATCTTGGCTTAAGGAGCGGAACGAACTTGATGTGGATATGCTGACTGATTGCACACAACTACGACATCACTTACTATCTAGTCCTACGACCATCCTATCTTATGAAGGAGTGGTGGAGGATCAATTTCGGGCAATTATGGCCCAATTTACGTATTGCTCTATTAATATTGTCTCTAGACTAGTTAATGTTAGTGCTCATACTTTAGCTACACTAGCTTTTGATCAGGAACATTCTATGTATTGGGACTATGTCCCTCCTGACTGCTTGATTCCTTTCATTAATTAAAATATGCCAACGTCCTTGGCTTTCAAAAAAAAATAAAAAAAATAAGAGAAATAATTTTATTAGTTATATTGTCTTTATTTTTCTTCAATATAAAAATTCTTTATATTCAAATTTATTAATTGATTATATTCGCTACATTATCCTTACAATGTCTTTATTCACTGAAAAAAAATTATTAATTATCAATAAATTAATTAAAAGAAATATTTTCATTAGTTATATTGTCTTTATTTTTCTCAAATGTAAAAATTTTTACATTCAAATTCATCAATTGATTATATTCACTACATTATCTATTATCTTTTTTGTGCACTATTTTTCTAATTAAATATCAAAGTTATAATACAAAATAATGCTATATATTTATTTACCAAGTATTTTATTAATACCATGAAAAATTAAAAAAAAATAATTAATAAAGCCAACCATATTAACTACTTGAGAGATTTTGTGACAAAGAGAGTATTCAAATCACACAACAAATTGAAGTGAGAACTACCTCGCAATGTCCTTGTTTGACAATCAGCAGTTAGCGGTTAGCGTTAGCGGATTATACTAGCGGATTTGACCAGCGAATTTATTTAATTATTAACATTGGGTAGAAAAAATGACCGCCAAATTATTAAATCAAATGAATGGTTCATATTGTTCAGGTTTTAATTTTTTTCTTTTAAGATTTTATAATTTATCCTTAATTATATGATTATCCATTTAACTTTTCCGTTAATTTACCGTTAGTCTAATTCTAATATTAAAGTCTAATATAGAATTATAACTACACCATTAATCTAATTCTAATATTAAAGCTAAGTCTTAATAGAACTTAACCACAAATCCTAATGTCGGAATCTCCTCAAACAATATTAGTATATATTTAATATTTTATGCCCTAATTTTTATTTGTTTTCCCTTATGTCCCGTATTTGGTTTCAATCATACCTATACAATTATTTTATTGACAATTATAATCAATCTTGACTATATTATCTTGCATTTGTAAACTTAGAATTACCTATTTAACCTGCACGGGCTTAGCTCAATGGTTTAGTGGGTAGTATTTGGGAGAAGAGACCAAGATTTGAACCTCGGCAGCGGCAGTGCGGGAATTATGTCCAAAGTGGACAGATTCCTTGTGCGTATCAGCATTTGGCCCTGTCTGTTGAACCATTGAGTCACTGTGATTTACAACTTCCTACAATGCTCTGTCGGGTCAGAGTGTGGGAGGCCCTTGGGGTTGGGGACTCAACCTTTGGGAGAAGAATTACCTATTTAAATACGCAAATTCAACCTTCAATTATCTATGCATGAACAATTTCAATATAATCCTGCCTTAATATACTTTAAAGTACTTATTTAAAAAAAAATGCATTGGGCATTATCCCAATCGCGCAATGCGCGTAAAAAACTAGTTATAATATAAGATATGAAAAAGAGTATTTGGTGGGTACCCCATTTGGTGTTGTTCCTAACAACCATTTTCAATGGATATCGTACACCGGATATGATGTAGTGGGTGAAGAGAAGAGATGAACAAGTTTAGGGCGCCAATAAATATATGATAATTATTAGTGAAATTAATATTAGAGTTGGGTGTGAGGAATTGAAGTAATGAAAGGGATTATGCATGGTAGCAATTTGGTAGTGATGTCAGCAGTTGAGTACGTTGGAAGTTGGAAGGCTGTATAGATAATTAGTTTACCGGTTACCTACCTGCGTATGTACTGCCGCAGTCTCGTCATGAATGGGAAGTAGGTGAAGTTATTTGGTAATTAATCAAGTTAATTAATTAGAATCAACTTTGAGGGTTATTCTTCATAACTTTTACCACCTACAAATTGGCTCCATGCATCATTCGAGCAATGGAGTTAAAAAAATTTAATTTGGGGTCAAATTATATATTATCGGAAATGACCATACTAAAAACCTTATAATTATCACCCTCTATTAGTCACTTTTCATGTTCTATTTTTATTATATACGAACTTTCTTTATTAATTAAATGTAAGGTGACCAATTTACAAATAATCTATGAAAACAAATAATTTTAAAAAAAATTAGAGAGTGAAATATAAGAAGTGATAATTGTTTGAGATCATGTTCTATTTTTATTATATACGAACTTTCTTTATTAATTAAATGTAAGGTGACCAATTTACAAATAATCTATGAAAACAAATAATTTTAAAAAATTAGAGAGTGAAATATAAGAAGTGATAATTGTTTGAGATGGAAGCATTTTTTCTAGAGTAAATACCCAAAATGATCCTTCGACTATAGCTAAATTCACAAATTGGTCCTCGACTTTTAATTTCAACCAATTAAGTCTTTAACTTTGCAATGTTAACACAATTTGGTCCTTTGTCTATTTGAACGTTTGTTGACTGCGTTTTTTTTAGGATATATATGTAATATCATGGTCCATCGTCGGTTTTTTAAGGTTCCGCTTGCATTTCTAGACCGCACTATTACATTTGAATCCACTGCCGGCGCTGCACCCCATGCCGGAGAGATATAGCTTTTGATAGATAGATCGCCGAAGTCCCTGGAGTGGCTCTTCGAGAAAGTCGTGACTCCAAGCGATGGCAAGCTGAACCGGCTCGGGATCACCAAGCAGCAAGCGGAGAAGCACTTCCCCCATCCGAAACGGCGCTGTCACCTCCAAGAGCGTTCTCTAAGCTGAACCGGCTCGTGATCCCCAAGCAGCAAGGGGAGAAGCACTTCCCCCTTCGAAACAACGATGTCACCTCCAAGAGCGTTCTCTTGAGCTTTGCACGTGAAACTACATATATATCCTCAAAGATCGCGGTCAACAAACGGTCAAATAGATGGAGGACCAAATTGTGTCAAAATTGCAAAGTTAAGGACTTAATAGGTTGAAATTGAAAGTCGAGGACCATTTTGTGAATTTAGCTATAGTCGAGGGACCATTTTGGGCATTTACTCTTTTTTCTATTGAAAGTGTGAGATAAGTCTTGATGAGCATATCTACTATACTAATAAAAGCCCAAGAGAGTTAGGCTTACTATAAAGCTATCGTTATCCCTGCAAATTTCTCCCACTTCTAAAATGGGTCTCACTTCTACATCATCCCATTTGCAAATTATACTATTCACACTACATTCCTACAAAGTTAATCAACTTAAAAAAGTGAGTCCAACATATTAAAATAACATTATTAATTATATTAAAGTAGTAAAAAGTAAAGAAAACAAAAACAAAAAAATAAAAAGTACAAAAAGTTGCCGCGACAGCTTTTATCAAGGGTTTGCAAATTTGCAACTTCTGCAAATTTTCAAACCCTTTTAATAAAAAAAAATTAAAATGTTGATGTGGCATAAGCCACATCAGATTGCAAAGCCCATATTGGCTGAGATAATCCCAGCCTAATGGGTAAAAAAAATGACGGTCAAATTTTTTAATCAAATGAATGACTCAGATTGATCAAATTTTAATTTTCTTTGAGATTTCTTAATTTATCCTTCTGTTAATTTTTTCGTTAAATATTATCTTTTTCAAGAATTTCTGTTAGTTCATTATTAACTTACTCATTGATATTAATAAGAAAGGTCGTAGGTTCGAATCTCATCCAAATCAAAGTTGGCATAATTAATACTCTATTTTAATCTTATTAAATTATAAGTTCGAGCCTCAGTGGAGGCGTTATTGGTTCTTTGTTTCAGTAGGTTGAGAAAGTATATGAACAGATACTACAATGTAATAGAGCCAGTAACTTTCAAAAAAATAATAATAATAATAATAAAAATTTAGTAGCTACAATAAAAAAAATACATATGTATTTCTTTAATTTAGAATTATATGTCTACAATGCCTTTATTCAAAAAAAAATATATTCATTATCAATAAATTAAATAAGAGAAATAATTTCATTAGTTATATTATCTTTATTTTTTTTTCAATATAAAAATTCTTTACATTCAAATCATCAATTGATTATATTGCCTACAATGTCTTTATTCAAAAAAAATTATTCATTATCAATAAATTAATTAAGAGAAATAATTTCATTAGTTATATTGTCTTTATTTTTCTCCAATGTAAAAATTCTTTACATTCAAATTCATCAATTGATTATATTCAATTCACTACATTGTCTATTATCTTTTTTTGTGCACTATTTTTTAATTAAATATAAAAATTATAATATAAAATAATGCTATATATTTATTTACCAAGTATTTTATTAATACCATGAAAAAATTAAAAAAAAAAAAAAATATATATATATATATATATATATATATATATATATATATAAAAAACCCAATCATATTAACTACTTGAAGAATTTGTAGACAAAGAGAGTATTCAAAACACACAACAAATTGAAGTGGGAAACTACCATGCAATGTCCTTGTTTGACAATCAACAGCTAGTGGTTAGCGTTAGCGGATTTGACTAGCGAATTATATCAACGGTTGGTAAAACGATATTTGAAAAAAATCAGTTGTTTAGATTAACATATAAAATGACCTCAGGATATAACAACAACAACAACAACAACAACAACAATAATAATAATAATAATAATAATAATTAAAAAAAACAAAATAATAATAATAATAATAATAATAATAATAATAATAATAATTTTAATAAAGAAAATAAAATTAAAAATAATAATAATAATAATAATAATAATAATAATAATAATAATAATAATAATAATAATAATAATAATAATAATAATAATAATAATAAAATAACACATATGGGGAGCCGAATGCTTGGCTCCCCTTAGTTTTGCCAATTTTCCCACCTCGGTGGGACACTACTAGAAATTATGATATTTTCGACCACCTGAAAATGATCTTAAAAACCTGAGGACCTTAGACCGATTTCACTTTGCAACGTCGTCTACAAGGTGATTACAAAAGTGTTAGCCAATAGGCTCAAGCCTCTTCTAAACAACATCATCGCAGAGAACCAGAGTGCCTTCGTGCCCGGCAAGATGATCACAGATAATGTCATGCTTGCGTTCA